CTGCCTCAGCCTCCCAAGTAGCTGGGACTACAGGCGCCCGCCACAACACCTGGCCATTTTTTTGGTTGCAGCCATCATTGTTGTTTGGCGGGCCCAGGCTGGGGATTTGAACCTGCCACCTTAGATGTATGTGGCTGGTGCCTTAGCCGCTTGAGCCACAGGCACCGAGCCTGTAAATAAAGTTTTATTGGAACAGTGCCACCCCTGTTTGTTTATATATTATCTATTGCCTGCTTATAAGCTAGACTTGAGTACAGGCAGTCCCTGAGTACAAATATCCAACTTTATGTACAAATGGTACTTATGAATGAAGGCTATTACAGAAATTTCCCAAGTTATAAACATCTGACTAATGTACAACTTGTACTTATGAATAGATGCTATTATCTATTATCTATTCTATCTAGTACCTGTTCCAACTTACCACAAATTCAACTGAAGAACACACTTACAGAGCCTATCTTGCTCATAACCTAGGGACTGCCTATAGTTGCAACAGAATCCAGATGGCCCACAAAGCCTCAAATGTCTTCTGTCTCTCCCATTACAGAAAATGTCTGCCGATCCTATTCTTGTTGAATTTTATTGGTAATTAAGAAAGCCAACTGTATTCAAATCTTCTTTCCCACCACTTACCAGCTGTGTAACCATGTGCAGAGGGCACATGTATATGTGTGGTGCCTTGTATTTACTAAGCTTTATTGATGTTGTCTTTTCAAGTACATTTTATAGTTTTCTTCATGTTAGTTTTGCATATGTGAGTTTTCTCATTCCTATCAAATGATGTGTGACACTCATGGTGTCATAGTAAGAAATTGTAAGGGGAGCCCAGGTTTAGACAGAATGGTAAACAGAAGATTCTGGAAAAGGCAGCTTTTATGACCATGCCATTTAATGATTCTGGGTATGCCAGTCAGGATAGGCAAGGTTAGGCTGCAGTAACATACAGCACCCAAACTTCAGGGCTTAATACAAGAAAGGTTCATGTGTCACTCCCATTTCTTTTCCAAAGTAGGTTGCTGGTGGGGAGATCTCATGTGATATGTGAGACCCGGTTTGATGGCACCTCCATAGCAATACTTGTTTCCTTGTGGAAGGAGGATGGAGACATAGTGAATCATGGACTGGCTCCTAAGGCTTCCAACATGTAATAATAAACATTTCTGCTGACAAGTCGTCATCCAAAGTAGCTCCAGTGGCCACACCTCACTCCAAGGATCAAGGAGGTACAGTCCTCCCACAAGCTGGGGAACTTTGTTGCATCCTAAGGATTTCTCAGCCCTTCTGTGCCCATGTCCATTTTCCTTTTCACCACACATTCAGAACTTACTCCCTTCTCCTCAAGGGAGAAAACCCAAAGTCCCAGCTCTGAATTGGGGATCAGCAGTTCGGTCAGTGCTCAGTCAGGACTTCTGGGGATCCTGATATCTGGATATTACCCCAGACTGGTGGAATCCCAATGCCTCCAACCAAGCTGTCTCCTGTGAGGTGTGGCACACTGAGATCCTGCTCCCTACACCCTTCCCCATCCACCCCAGGGGGAGCTTCTGGGCTGCTCTGCTGAGACAGTGTCCTTGGTAAATTGTAATTTCCATAGCACGTGGGTGACAGAGTGCCCATTTTCTCTAAGCCTGCAACCCAGCATTGGAGGAGCTGTGGCACTGGCCCGACTTGGAGTTAACTGGGGAGTCAGCAGCAGCCCTTACACTCCCCAAGCATGGCACTGACACTGCCTTTTTGATCCCCAGTGCCCACAGCCTTTTTTGTGCTCATAACTTAAGGCCACTGCAAGTCTGTGCAAGGGGGTGACAATGAAGCTACTTCCTCACTGAAACCCACATACTAAGGAGAAGGCATTAGCTGTCGCAGGTTTCTTTGTGGCCAAGCACCTATTAGTGCTGCAGATCAAGGTTCAGTCTATCATGGAGAGAGGGAAGGCCAGGGCAGTTTGTGCTTCTACTGATGTTTTGAATGGTGCTCAAGCCTGCAGCCTTCTCCTGGCTGCTCTGAGCCTGGGCTCTGAGAGGTTGCTCACCATGGCAACCCAAGGGGCACAAGAGAGGCACACACACCTGCTTCTGCAGTGTTTTTCAGGCCCATCTGTATGAATGTGGTCAACAGTGCAAGTCAGATACAATCTGCTCTCCTCTCACTCCCCTCCCATGCTAATCTCCAGCCTGAGAAACGCTGCCAACAGATGGTCATACAGGTGTGGAGGGAAGGGCGTAGTGTGTGTGGAAACAGTGTTTTCTGAAAATGAAAAATCATGTGTCCTGTTTAGCCAACTCAGCGATTACC